TGAACTTATGCTAAACTCTGCCCAAGACCTTCCTGTGGCTCAATTCCCTTCAGTGTAGACTCATTTTGATACTACTACATGTGTGCAAGTAGTAGAGTAGCAGTGAGTACCCTTCACACCTTTAACACCAGTCTGTTCGATGGCAGCACCCCCTACATATTCCCCTTTGTTATTTTTAGTTGGTACATGCATTCCTGGTCATATCCTCAGGTTTGCCCAGTATTATGCCTTGGACAATATACAACTCTTTTACTACTTCAGGATTGAGGAGACGTTTTCTGAATTGTTGTTTAACAATTTATTGTATTACATTGTATTAATCTGCCTACCCCGCAAAGCACCATGAATTGATTACATTGTATTCTGCCTTCTGTAAACCAGTCACTCAATCCTTAGGATAGTTCAATGTGCAGGTGTATATGACAGTGCTGTCCATGAGGCGAAGAAGCCCTGTGATAAAATGTTAAAAACAACAGTGTTGATCCACTTGCATTTGCTTACCATGTTGAGCCATTGTGGTGTCTTCCCATGCAGCTTTGTATTTTAATGCTGCAGGATCATGTCTACCATGTACATGAGGATGCATTTGATGTTAATGGTGTTATGCACCAGGGGATGGGTGGCAACTTTGTATAGGTAGTGGAAGCATTCATTCCAGTGTTCATTGTAGACGAGACATCTGCCACCAACCACAAATCACTACTTGACTTCTGGTCCATTGGTCTAATGAACATTTCCTGAAAGGAAATATAGCAATAAAAATAGAAGACAAATCAGAAACAAATGGGGGGCAATGTGCACTATTGATGACAATGTTACATAGCATATTTTCAACTGAGGTTATTTGCACTTTTTGAGTTAAGAAATTGAGGGAAAGTTACTGCTTGTGCAATATTGGGGAGCATGGTCAGAGTCCAGGAGAACTTTCCATATGTAGTAATCTACTTGAAATTAACTATAAAAGACTGGAAAAATTTAGAGAAAAATAGAGGATAATGGTTGTTGCTTTCAATGTATATGTAGGTACTCTCTGTAGGTAAATGGAAATATACACTTTATCCAATGTAAAATAGCAATACTATATATATATAGTTAATGGGTATAAATCTGATGGGCTTTCAGGAGGTGGTCACATGACTAGTTTCCTGAATAATCAAAAATGTGAATGTTGTGGTGCTGCATTGTAGCTTCCTGAATATAAAAAGGACTCGTATCTGCCATGCTTGCAATGGCCCTCTTGCACAAGTTAGAAAATGTAAGAGATGAACTTAGACATGATCTTCATAATTTAGATCCTATCAAATTTCCTATGGGCAAAACAGGAGCTAGTGTTGGACAACTTACATTTGAAATGCTTAAGCATGAAGAAAATAATGCAGTGGCTGAAATAATATGTTCAGACTGTGGAAATGCATATGAAGTAGATGATACACTGGGATATGTTCTACATGCATCTGACCCTATACCAGCATCAACTTCAAAATGGATAGGATCAATTCAGAAGCCATCTACAGAAATATGTGGGGGTTGCTCAGGTGAAATGATTGAGCATGTATCCTATGCAGAGGTTCCAAAGATTATCATCCTGGAGTACCCATACTGTAATACTGAAACTAGTCACAAGGTAAAGTTTGTAGTAAATGGAGAAGAAGTTTTACTGAGCCTGAGAGGGATCATATACCATGGGGATAATCATTTCACCTCTAGAGTTTTTTCATATGAAGGTAAAGTTTGGTTCCATAATGGGATAACCACCAAAAATAAGTGTATAGAAGATGGGCAGCTAGATGATAAAAGCAATAATGATCTTAGATACTATCAAGATCAGGAACTTGTTTTGGCTGTATATTCTCAACTTTAAATTAGAACTTTGTCTTGATAAATTTAACATTAAAATAGAATTCTAGATTAATATCTTTATAACATTGAATGCAAGCCACATTGATTTGAAGCAAATGATTATAAAGAATTGTAAATAAATGTCAAATGATTTTGCAATTTTTTAGACATTGTTACTGTAACATTATTCACAATCTCTTGGTTTACATTAATGTGGCTTGCATCCATTGTTGATGAAAATGTTAAAATATGCCTTTTAAAAAAAAAACTTACTCTACATATTTTTCAGCATTGGAGGTCCATGGGAAGGACTCATACATGCCATGCGCAGCACTGGCCCACACCCACAAGTAAACTACATTATCTCTCTACTTGACGCAAACCCTGCTCTTTACCTCGACGAGCTCCAAGACCTTTTGGAAGAAAATCATGGTATCAAAGTCTCCCTGTCCACACTTTCCCGCACCCTCCGTCACACAGCTTTGACTCACAAGCGTGTAGCACATGCTGCTGTTGAACGGAACAAGCTATTACGAGCAACATGGCAGGCAGCGAACGGAGAATTCCCAATGGAGTATTTTGTGTGGTTGGATGAGGCAAGCATGGATGATCGAACAAATCAATGAGACAATGGGTGGGCTGCTCTTGGACGAGCTTGCGTGAGGCGAGCAGCATTTCTGCGCAGTCAGCAGTTTTCAGTACTGCCAGCCTTGACGTGTGATGGGATAATTGCTCTGGATATCTTTGAGGGTGTGGTCAACAAAGAACAGTTTATTCAGTTTCTGGAACAACAGCTGGTATGTCCCTTTTTGTTGTTGTGCCAAAAAAGACTTACTGACTGACACTCAAGGTGCCAAAATTAACACCCTTTCTGGGTCCATGGAGTATAGTAGTTTTGGACAATTGCGCTATTCACCATGATGAAGCGATCCGCCAGATTATTGAGACACAATGCAGTAGGTTCTGTCCTTGATATATGTAGCCTTTGACTGACTTGACACACAAAGATGCCAAACTGATCTACCTCCCACCTTACTCTCCAGATTTCAACCCCATTGAACAAGCCTTTTCATCAATCAAAGCCTGGCTCAAATGACATGAGGCTGAGGCTGTCCAACCTGAAGTAAGGCCATGGCTTATTCAACAGGCAACCCTTGCAATCACAACTGAAGACGCAGAGGGTTGGGTAATTAATTGTGGCTACTTGTAGATAGAAATTGAAGCAGTGTATAGTAAAAAGTCAAGGTAAAGTATACAAAGCGAATGAAGCAGGAAATGTGGGATGACATGAAGTTACTTTACAATCAATGAGCAAGCAATTTCTTCTCAGCTAAATGAGTATTCCAGCTCTGGCAGAATGCCTGAAGCTTCCATAAGTGACCCTCATGAGCACCTGTCACCTCAATCAAATGTGGCACAGGAACATCAGGGATGATACCAGGAGTGAGGTTGAGCGCAGCCAGCACTGCTTCAGAATGCAAAAGATTAACATCTTCTGTCTTCAGGAAATCAGCAAGACATGTATGCAACTCAGCAGAGCGGCTCGGGATAGGTGAGACAGGTGTAGGCGTGATCAAAGGCTTTGGTTTACGTGGTGTGGTTGGAGCAGGAGTCTCAACGGGAGCAGCTGGCGGCTTGGGAATGAGATGGGCAATGAGAGCCGGCATCAATGCAGAGGTCGAATCAGGAGGTGGTGTGGCTTGAGTGTGTTAAGGTCCTGTACGTCCCCGGGGTTTGGTTGCTGTGAGCCGACCATCACAAAGTGTATTGAAGTGGATGTTATTGGGGGGTTCGTGCTTAGTAGCATCATGAGCAGCCTGGAAAATGTTAATATATATATATATAAGGATAATGGAGGTATGCACAATGGCAGAAGCCCACATCGCAAGTTTACAATGGTTTAAACCTAGGTGGTTACCAGTAGGGTCAACGTAACAGAACCCTACTTCACCATGCTCGCCCTGATGCCACTCGCAAGGCCACTTCTGCTTCAACTCCAAAATGATCTCGCTGTGCAGCTGATCTTGCTCTGTAAAGTTGTCAAGTCACAGTACCTGTCAGAAGTCATGTCAAGTGAGAATAGGCTATGTAGAATGTCCAAAACTCACCTTAGTGCCATACTGAAGCTCAGGGGTGTCTTCAGTGTCATGTGCAAGGAGTGGCTATCATATGCCATCATCAGAAACAGGGAGTCACAATCTTGAGACAAATGACACATACTCATTTGAGCTGAATCCGATACCCATCCATCAAATCCAAATCAAACTCGACGTTAACTTGACAGGTCTTGGCTTTCTTGAGAATGGCCTCAATCATGACCATGTACTCGCGATCGTTCTCGATGGTAACACCCTTCTTCCCACCACTGAGAAATGTTAGCCAAAATCAGGAACCAGATGACAAGATGACGTACACAGAACCTGTCCACCACATTTTGAAGGAGGGGCCGCTATGAACACCAGGGCTGTACTGTGTATCAAGGTCCCAAACCTTCAGCCTCATGGATGAAAGCCGAGTGATTGAGGTCCTCCAGGGCAATGATGTTGAACTTTGAGTTGGACTGCTTCTTCATAGTCAGCTTGCCTAGCTTTGTCTTGTCAATAGCCGAGAAGAGCAGTGAACTGTAACGCCATGACCAAGGCTGGCGGGAGGTGGCACTAGAGTCCAAACATCAGAACCAAGACAAGGTACAACACAAACATAGGCTTATGAGGTACAACTACGGGATTTGGTGGCAAGTCATCTGCACGCGCTGGGGCACATGGTGGCGTGGGGTCCATGGCGGCAATGGGATCCTCCAAAGCTGGGTGGTCCGGCTGATAGTACTTGAGTACAGTCATGATTTCGTCATCACTGTAGTAGAATTGAGGAGGGTTGACGCTGCCATCTGAGAAAAGCAAAGTTAGTCAAATAGAATGCACATGAGAGAAAAACAGACCAATCCAAGCAGGATTTTTTAACCAGCTCTCAGAAGGTTGAGGAGGCGCAAGTTGAGCGTAATTTGGGCAAGTAGGAAAGTTGGTGGAGGCGTTCTCCTTTTCGACGACATCAGAGGGCCTGCAGAGCTGCACAGGAGAAGTGCGCATATTGAAGTGAGTAGAACTGGGAGAAAGGAAAGGTGACATTGCCAACTTGAATCATTCAGTGATGTTGTGCACCTTTATACCCTCCTTGTCCGAATGTGTCGGCCCCAGAGCCCCAATGAATCATCTCCAATATTGAGGTACAGCTAGCGATTCCCCCAAAAATCTGCTTGGGCATGCTGGACAGGCACTAGCACTACAAAAATCAGCAACAATCCGGTGTATTGAGGTATCTTACCAGAATACCAGCCAATTCTAGCCAATTCTTGAATACCCTGCATACATTTCATGGAAGCCATCTGCTGAGTGAATCTCAAGAAGAGTGTGTTGTGTAGCAACAGCAGTGCCCAATATGCATTGGTGGCTGAGTTGTTACCCTGATAAAGATGGAGGCCGTAGTGTCAAATACACAACATAGGGGTGAAAATCACTTACAGACTCATAGGTTTCCGTGACTTGTTGACTCCCTTCCGGTCTCAAGCAGTTTGAGAGAAGCAGGGCGAGAATGCTTGTGGACGAAACATAGGCATACTGTTGTTGAACTGATCAGTGTGACAGGATTTACAATGGTCACAGCCCAGCCACAACCAATCACTCACTTCAGTCACCCACCTTGAACAAGCTATTAGCCTTGTAAAATGTAAGAATGTATCCAGGCTAATAGGTTGTGTGGCCATTTATTTTTTTGCCTTTGGGAGAAAATATAATATTGGATTGGGTAGAAAATATTTGACCTGTAATATTGTGACCAGAAATGTTTGGGTAAATAAATTGTGTTCAAAAATATCCTAGTCAAGTGAAAGTGGTCAGAAATATTTGAAGGGGTTCAGACTGGTAAGAAATGTTTGAAGTGTGTCAGACTGGTAAGAAATGTTTGAGCCAAGTCTAACTGGCCAGAAATGTTTCAGTGGTGTGACATCAATCAGATATATTCTAAGCATGTCACACTGTTGAAAAATCTTTTAGCCTTGTCACATGGCTCAAACATATCTGACCAGTGTCACGGGGTATCTGGGGTCCCAGTTTCAAGAAAAAAACTTGTTTTTTCTGGTGCAGTTTTCTCATCATTTTGTACATTGCTTTTTTTTCCCCTCAAAACTCATCTAAGTTTGTTCTCACCAATACCCCACTTCTATCTGCCATTTTCACCACTCTAAGTCTGTTTTCACCAACATCCCACTTCTCTCTGTCATGTTCACACCACTCTAAGGTTGTTTTTACCAACACCCCACTTCTCTCTGTTATGTTCACCACTTTAAGTCTGTTTTTACTAACATCCCACTTCTCAACTCAACCAAGTTAGCATCCCTTAGAGCCTGTTCAGCAACCAGAATCTGGTTCAATTCTTTCAGATTCTTGTGACACAATGTGACCTCTCTCGTGATTTGTTGATGGCACAGCAACTGGCAACAACCGTGGACTGTATTCAACGTTGAGCAACACCCTCTTGTCAT